GATAATAAGTATGTTAAATTTTTACTAAGATTTTTTATTTTAAAAATAAAAAAATTAAATTAGAACTATTATTGTGGAATGAGAGAGCAAAGAACAACTTAATATTCGTTATGAGAGTGGCTGGTGATTACATGTGCAATGAATCACAACTTCTTGTGCTTAACGAAAAAAACAATGTCATAAACCACAGATTTGTCTGTGATTATGTTTAGCATGACCAGCGTGTTGGTTGAAGAGGAGATATATGTGGTTCGTGGATATGGGAGGATTTAGGTTTTGGGTTTCGAAGTTACTCAATTGCTGAATAGTAAAAAGGGATCCAAAGGGATGTTAATGAAGAAAAACATCTAGATTACTTTTGATCCCATAAGTTAATAATATTTAGAATTTGTCTATCTTGTACACTTATGACACATGATAAAAAATAATTATTAGTTAATAATTGTCTTAAAAGATGTGAAACTTTAAATTAAAAAAAATAAATTTTGATTTTAATTTTAAAATAAATGAATAAAAAATTAATACGTGACATTTGTAATTAAAATAAAAATTAATTTTATTATTTTTAAGATAAAAATTAATTATAATTATATAATTATTATTTCTTATCATATACTCTTAAATAAACCCTATTACTTAATATTACATTTTTTTTTTTAGAAAAAGGTCTAATTTGCTTGCGCATGAGCCTTTAGTCTCACATAGGTTAGTTAAAAAAAGTAATAATATCATTTAATTTCCTAATGAGCAATATATGGCATTAATATCTTCAAAGAGTAGTATCATTCGATATTGCTTTTCTAAGAAGTAGTATTATTCTGTTATTAAAATCTTAATTAATAATAATCTTTGGGGGTTAGCTGCATAGGCATTGATCCAATTCTGTCATATTCCACTCTGCCTTGAGCTGTATCTTTTGGACTTCTTCTGACATTTTGAGAAAATACTTAAAATATATGGCCAATAGCCACCAAAACGTATGCAACAAATCTGTGTATCACGAAGATTGCGCGATTTGCATAATCGCATAAATAAAACTCATGATGACAAGGGTTTAGCTTCAAGCTCTTGTCTTTATCCTTTATTTGGTGTTTGCAGCAGACCTAATTAATTTCAGCATCTACAATTGTGGACCTCTTAACGCGTCTTTTCAAATGTTGCTTCATTTTCACTCTTATTATTTTATTTAATTTATTTTTAAAAGAACTTTCCTTCTAAATTTTAATATTGAGAGACTCAAAATTTTATTTTTAAAACTTGTATTTATATACATTATTTTATTCAAGTCACGTAATTATATTCATACCTATTATAAGGAAAAAAAAAATAATAAAATGTAGTAGGACTCTTGCAATAGAATCTCCTATAGGAGACCCTGGTTGAAGATGCTCTTACAGGCACTCCATCAAGAAACGTAAGGATTTGAAAATGAGACTACTCCGGACCATAACTTGTCTCTTAATTACCACAAAAGAATTAACACCAATATAAACTCACCAATTTTACTATATATACAATGATTTGTAGGATGGAATACTTAACATGTGTTTAATTTTTTTAAAGTTAGTGCGTGCTTTTTAAAAAAAGGAAATAATTGTCATTGATGATATGGATAAAAAATAAAAATCAAGTAATTACGGTTTGTGTGGAACCTACACAATAGACCATATAAAGACCCAATAAAATCTTTTTGGCTTATGTCATTAATGATAAAACAGTTTTATATAGGTCAATATTTAATGTGAGTGAGTTTAACAAAATTAGAAACTCTATGTTAGCCTTCCATCTCCATCCAATAAAGTCTTGTAAAATTAGTGAATTTGAGTCCTTGAATAAGAAAACGAGAAAGTAAAGTTCCTTGCTTAGGAAAAAAAAAATTTGAACTTTGGATTAGTAAACTTTTGAAAGTTGGAGTAGTCCTTTTCTATGCTATGAATGCCAAGCCAACGAAAAGGAATTAGATGCTTCAGACAGAGTCGGTGTGCAAGTGGCCCAATATATTGGATTATGTTGTGCATAATTAGTTGTTTCAATTATTTTTAGTTTAGTTCATTCCAAATAACAATTTTTTTTTATTAGATGATGAATTATATAACGTGAAATAACTTTTCTTTTCTAAAACTCCTCCTCTCCAACCATACCAAAATTTAAACTTACGAACTCAAATCTAAAGATTTAACTTCTTAATCACTAGGACGTTTTTTTAAGAAACATTTCTAAATAATAATTAAATAATAAAATATTTTAGTTCAATCAAATATTTTTAGAATAACTTACTATAGAATAATAATACACTATTTTAATAAAATAATAAATTATTTTACAAATTTATACTAACTATTTTTTTTCACCTTACTAAAAATAATAAGTTATAGCCTCAAATGAATAATTTTGTTAATAGATTGAAATTATTTACAAATATTAATTACGGGAAAAAAAAAGGAAAAGTGGTTCTGTGGAGCTCGAACAGATCACCAATAGGAGGTAAATGATTCTAATTTGGGATTTATGCCATTAGACTGGAACATGCTGTTCACCTTAAATAAATATTTGATTAATTTTCGTTAAGAAATTCTCATTTGGAAAGTAGTATTTGATTACATATACAAAAAAAATGAAGTGTAATCCTTCTTGTACAAACTGCATTTTATTTAATCATTGATTTATTTAATCATGGTTAAAATTCTTTTTTGGTCCCTAAACTATTGTATGGATCTTCGATTTGGTCCCTGAACTAAAAAAATCCATGATTTGGTCCCTATTGTTTACCATTTTTACCCCAATTTGGTCCTCTCATTAAAATCTCACTATTATCTCACGACAATTTAATGACATGTCAAACATTTGAGACACGTCAATTGTATAAATGAATAAATAATGACATGGCAACGTAACATGTCATGTTCTTGCCCAACCCAACAAAAGTGGGGCCCACCAAAATTACAAATTTACCATCATCTTCTTCCTCCAGCAAACAAACCCAACACCTGGGTTGAATCGAAGTATCGAACCCAACAGCGCCCTTTTTTTTTCCTTCCTCTTCCTTGCCTTGCTTTCTTCATCATCATCAAACAACCATACCCAAAGAAAAAATATATATATATTTTACCCCTGGGTTTCGTTGAACCCACGCCTGGGTTCAATGGAACCCAAGGTTGGGTTCCATGGAACCCATCTAGTTCAAAGAACCCAGGCGTGGGTTCGAGGGAACCCATCGCTTGGGTTCCTTCGAACCTAGTGCCTAGGTTCCTTGGAACCCAACGCCTGGGTTTCGTCAAACTCGGGGTTGGGTTCCATGGAATCCAGCTGGTTCGCCGCTGGGTTCCAACTAGGTTCGAAGAACCCAAGAGTGGGTTCGAGGGAACCCAACGCCTGGGTTCCTTGGAACCCAACCCAAGCAAGCGTGCTGGGTTTGGTTCCTTGCGAACCTAGCACCTGGGTTCGTAAGGAACCTAGCGCCTGGGTGGGTTCCGAGGGGAAAGAGAAGGGAAAGGGGAAGGAGAAAGAGAAAGGGAAAGGAGAAGGAGAAAGAAAAAAGATAAAAAGATAAAAGATAAAAAATTTTAAGTCTTATTTTTCATAATATTTTTTTATATTATTATTTTTTCCACATCATCACTTTTTGGCTATATTATCTTCCACGTGGATTACTATATGACATGTCATTTGGTAACCATGAAATAATAGGCCATGTCACACAATTTTTAACGGAAGGACCAAATTGGGATAAATATGGTAAACAGTAGGGACCAATTCAAAGATTTTTTTAGTTCAGAGACCAAATCGAAGGTCCGTATAATAGTTCAAGGACCAAAAAAGAGTTTTAACCTTTAATCATTGATGGAGGAGACAGATTCCTTGATATTTGAGACTCACCCCTCCATCATTGATTAAAACTTGATTAAAACTAGATCAATTCTCTTATATTTATATGGGGTTGTGGATTCTATAAGAAAAAAGTGCAAGAATGCTTAAGAAGTTAATTCAATAACTTTAATGAATTAATATGTAAAGAATATTTATTAAAGTTATTTAAATAATTTTATAATTATTCTTACATTTTTTTTTCCCATAAGTTGACTTGAAAAATATTTTTTTATATTTATATTTGTAGAAATGTTTTTTTATTATGGATTGCAAAGAAAGTATGGTTTATTTTGAAACACCTTTATTAAACTCCTTTCCATATTAATTTGTTAATGATGTTTTGGTAATACATTTTCGCCTAGTGATTCATGTTCGCCCAGTAATAAAAAAGGGCTTTAAGTAGAATTAAATAGAAGATTAATTTGCAAATCACAACGTAAACGTGGACATTAACATGTAATTAATAGCTTAATTAATCCTGCTTTATGCTTCGTGTCGAAGAGTGGCTCGTGCGTGCCATACTGTGGGGGACAGCCCTCCAACAGTAGGCCATTGCCATTGGAGTGTGCTGTTCGTGGGTTAGGTTAAAAATAAAAAAGCTGAGTAAAA